TGAAGGTGTCAGTACATCCAGGACACAAGAACTGAAGCCAGTTGTGCTTAAAATACATTACCTGTGTGCCTCAGCTGAAAACACTTACTTAAAAGATGCTAGAGCATTGATTTAATGAACTGAGGAGTCAGAAAACCCGAGTGCCAGTGTCTTTGCCCATGACCCATTGTCCCGGCCATTCAGTGGGACTGACAGACCCACTTCCATCCCTCCGCGGGTGGTGGGAGGCACAGCTCGTGCTCCGATAGTGCCCCATGTCCTGCCTTGCACCAGGAGTGGACATTGCCTTGTCTGTTTTCCTCCTAGTGTTTTCCACTGGAAGCTGGAGGTGAAGTTTCCCCTCGGCTTTTGTCCTCATTGCATTCTTTAAATAATTTAGTACTAGTGTGTCTTTATGTCACCCTGAGTGAGGCTGAGTATTTCCTCCCAGGAGCTCCAGTTGCTGGCGATGGATATGAGCCAAGGAGAGGGCTGGGCAGTGGGGAAGGTCTCTTTGGAGGTGGGAGGGCATCGGGGAGGACAGTCTGCTGAAAAGAAGAAAAATCAGCCAAGGCAGAGGGTGAGCACAAGGGAAATAGGGTAAACAGGCAAACAGGGGGACTCGGGTTGAGCTGAGGTGGAGGAGGTGCTGGAGATGATTTTATATGGTGCTTTCAGGATGAGAAGACAACCTGGATGGAGACAGAAAAAAGCCAGTGGGGACAGACAGCTTGCCCAGTTCATTCAGAAATAAAAAGAGAAGTGAGGACTTATCGAGAGGGACAGCAGTTGGTAATAACAATTAACAATAATTACAGAGTGAACTACTGAGATGTGCTCTCTTCAACTTCAGCACTAGATGACGGCAATCACTTGCACTCTGTACAGCAGGAGCTACCTGGTAAGAATCATAACTTCTAGAAATTATATTTAAAAGCAAACATTTTGGCCTCCTGCCTCCTTCTTACCCCTCAGACTATCTTACATTGATTTTGATTTTTAATAGATCCCCTGGGAAGCTAGAAGCATGCTGTTGCTGGGACAATTGCCCACCAGTGCATATGCTTTGTAATTGTCTTTATTAAAATCTTTCTTTTTAAGAAACACAAATTGAAACACTTTGCAATCAGTTACACAGATCAGTTAATATTGGTGACAGTTTCTACATAATTGAACAAGTACTAACAAATTCCAACTGTTTACAAGCCAAAACTTAAATTAACAAGATTATATAAGCTCAATAAATAGTACATCTGGTCCAGTTCAAGTATAATTCAACAAATCACAGCCTTAATCCTTAGAGAATAGAAAAACCCTGAATATAAACAGCCTAACACTAATTTAGTGTTAAAGCCAATACAAAACTTTGACTAATCTTTTGGGGCAAATGTTTAATTATTTCACTTTTTACTTCAAAGAAAGTAAGTTGTAGATTGACAACACTATTTGAGATCAATACAGATTTCACAAAGATGAAGAACATAGTCCCTATTAAAAAAGTGCAATCTTTGGTTGAGATGTGTTGAAATGGTTTGTATATATTAAGGAAGCTCCTTTTTAAATATCAATATTTATTTGGCTAGACCTGAGCCTGCTTTGTGCTATATATATATATTAATAAACAGCGTGGATTATAGTGATGATGAATTATGCCAACTAAAAAAATTCAAGATTTTAAATATAATAAACCAAAAGAAAAAACACATTTTTATACAAGCTGAGAAAGGTAAGCGGCTGCCTATGGTGGCCTTTCTTCTCAGCAGAATAGGTAGTGGAGAGAAGTTGAGGAGCTGAGTGCCTGCCAGCATGGCATGATGGCCTCTTGGGAAGGGGATTATCTCGGAGTTCTCAAAGTGCATCAGGCTGAAAACTGATCATAGGGATCATCAGGGGCTTGCTGAGGCTTGGGATTGCTTTATATGCTTTCAAACATTGGGTTTTAGGGGAAGAAAGGACGTTCTCAGAAGGGGAATTGCCTGTTTGGCCGTACCCAGGGTTTTGCAGATCGCTGTTGAGTCAGGACAGAGCCCAAAGGGAAGGGGTGTTCAAACCACCTCTGCAAATACCTGAGTCTGATCACATCTGTGGAGCTGGGCACTGCATCTGCATCACTCACCTGAGTCGTCCACCTCCAGAAGAGGAAACTACGCAGGGCACAGATGCCAGCTGGAGCCTCCTTCTTCCTCGGTGGCAAGCTGTACCCACGACCTGAACAAGGTATCTGGAGCCAGGACAGTTCCTGGTGAGCCTTGGTCAAGACTCCAGCTTTTGGAGCCCTGGATGGAGACCGAAAGTTAAGCTATTGGGGACTGAAGGATACCAAGGCTCACTGTCTCAAGGAAGGATTTTGCATGTCTAATGCAACTGCCCAGGAAAAAAAAAAAAAAGGAGATAAAATATGCAAGCTGTGAATAACAGGAGTGAACCTGGTGCAGAAGCAGAGGAGGGGGAATGTAGCTTGAATCATCTCCCATAAATCCAAAAATAAGCCCCTGGGTAAACACTCATTTTAATTATTCTTCTGCTGCCTGTCAAAATCTCATGGTTACCTATTGCTTTCCCTGCCTGCCTGTATCCACCTGTTGCCTGTTTTCAGAAAGTCTGATTTAAAGCTCTTTGGCCTGGGAAAGCCTTTGTTGTGGATTTGTGCCTTGCCTATAATAAAGGCAGTGGACCTGTAGCTTCTACTGCCATACAAATAAAGAATAATAACAGTGATACTTTTCCCATTTGAGGTTACCTGGGGATAAAGTTGCTGTCGGCATATGACTTTGATATACAGTCAGCTATGTCTCACATCCAATTAAGCTTAACCACATGGTCTAACAAGCTCCCATTAGGCCGGTGAGAGCCCCAGTTTGATAGCAGGGTTAGCTTCAAAGATCTGATGCTTGCATTTGTAGAGATTTCCTTCCCTTGCACTCAGATTGTGCTGAAGGGCATGAAGGGAACTCCATATTGAGATGATACATGACCAGCTTGAGAGCTGTGCTTTAGAAGACAATTGCACAATCTTTACTGCTATTTTCGTAATCTTACAGCTTGCAATACAAGCTCTTGCCCTAACAGCCCTGTGTTCAAATTTCACTACAATGTGAAAAACAAACAGTCAAAGGAAAATCCAACCCTTGAAGGAAAAATACCTGGTCTGCAATATTATTCTTTTTTTTTCCATATGGAAAACCAACCAACCAACAAATCTGGTTTAAATGACAGATGGACCCAAGTCTTAACATACTTCAAGTCTGGACAAAGGAGGATTTAGGCTGTAATGTTTTTCATTTCCCCTTGTCTTTTGGATAGGCCACATCTGCATCTGGGATGCAAAGAATCCCTCAACTTGCAAGAAGCAGGAATTCCAAATATGAAATTTGAACCCACCTCTGGTAAAAATGAGCGGAAAGCACAGGCCATGAAATGGAGCAGGGCTTCAGGCAACAACACCAGGCACCTCTTGAGACATGCTGCCTGGCTACGGGGTACTTCAGAGAATGAGCATGGCTGCTGGCACAAGACATAACAGAATGAATACTTTGGTGGAAGCGGTCTTGGCAATTTAGCCACTTTGCACTATTTTGTGACATCTGTGCCATTCTTAGGGACGGCTAGAACCTTCTGGGGAACGATTTCCTCTGCACAACATCTGAACAGGACATCCAGCACCAACAATTTTTACAGAATGTACCGTAATGAATATTAGAGTCAGGCAAAGAATGGAAATACTGCCGCAAATCCCCCTCTATCTAAATTGCACGGGGCATTTTATAAAAGCATAACTCCGGGATCAATTTTGGCAATGGTTTGCATACGTATTCACTTCACTACACAAAGCCCTATTGAAATGAACCAGAAACTTGTACCGTGCCTTTCAAAGGGACTTTGCAAAATACTAAGCAACAACTGTGCAGAAACAATAGCTCGTAATAATGCCAGAGCTGCTGGTGCATCCTGTGTTCTCAGTGCAGCACTCTGTGAGCCATCAGTTGTTGTATTCACCTTAAAAAATTCAGGGAAATAAAATACAAAAACAATATTAGAAATCTGGCATCTTTCCATGAAAACCAGGAACATTCAACATTGCCAAGCTGAGAAAAAGCAAGCTCAAAAGAAAACAGAAAGACCCCAAAAGCAAGGATTTTGAACAAAATGTCTAGAAGAGATATGGTCCAAACATGTGGCACTTTAAAAAGCCTCTTGTGAGAGTTTCAAGTCTGTAAGACTCAAAGCTGGCACCCTTTAGAATTATCAAAAATAAGAGATCCAAACACAATGGTACCTGGAGAACATCCTGATTGCATCACAGAAAATGCTGAGAACCAGAGCAGGTGAGCTCGTGTCAGCACGCGTGTTCGAGCTGCTCTCGCTGTGCTGGGCTCAGGTTCTAAGGTCCCGGGGACAGACTGTGGCTCCCTCTGCGTTCACACAACACAGGCAGCGTACAGTCAGCGCTGAACAACACAAACATTTTATCATTTCAACCAAGCTTTAAGACACGTGGAGGTGGATGCTGGTGGGGCTTACATTATGCCATCTACTGACTAGTTTTTGCACAATGTCTTTAGATGTCCTATGCAAATCCTACTTCTCACTGGGGCAATGAGTGAAATGGCTGAAGATATTTTAAGCAACATTAAAGCCTATTTATAGTCACATCTCCTTTCCTTCCAGCATCCACTGGAGGATGCTGAGTGCTTCTAAATACTCTGCCTGACCTGATGTGTCACATCAGAATTAGAACTTTAAGAATCCCTGAGAATTCTGATTTAATCTAGGAAACCACTCCCAGCACGCAGAGTGTGAGAAAGAATTGCTCCACTTCTTACAGATATGCCAGCGTTGCTTCACCGTGGGAAACAGTTTCAGGCATTTTGGTTTTTAATGGCACTCTGGGCATAGATGCATGGAACATGCTCTTTATTTCCCCTCCTCTGTACAGTGCAAATTGACAGTTATATCATAGAAATAAAATTTAAAAAAAAGTATCAGCATTCACTCATTATAGCTCTTCCAGTTCATCCACATCATAGTTTTTTCTTCGCAAAGTGAGGAACAATGCCGGTGTCATCCTGAGGCAGGTGGCTGCCTTCTTCCTTCATTTTCAGGCTCTCTTCTGCAAGTTGCGATAGATACTTCTGCAATCACACCAAAAATAAAGCATCGTTACCAAAACTGAAAACATTCGATGTGGGATGCTCTGTGCCTTTTCAGAGCTCTCACATCCTCCCAGTGTCTCAAAAGGTAAGAAAGCACAGAGAAACCCCATTTTGTTGAAAATTTCGAGCCAGGAAATATACCTGTGTCAGGCAAACTCCCTGCACACATGGAGAGCCTCAGAAGTTCAGTGATTTGCTCTGTGCCATGTGGGGAACTGGTGATGGACCCAGGAGGACTGTGACTCCCCATCGGTCCGTGTAACTAGGCCTCACCTTTTCTCCTCGCAAACTCTCTCCTCCCGTATGCTCTAGGGCAGGAACTAACGCCACGGAGTCAACTGAATTATTCCAGTATAAGAGCGCTGTGTCAGGTGCAATTTCTGAGTCACCATTTAAAGCATATATTTCCAGCATGTCCAGTACAGAGATACAGCTTTTGCACAAGAACATTTGTTGTAAGGGAATAATCAAACTCCATAATAATTAACACAGTTTAGCAGTCTAGCTAGAATATTTACATTTATTGTATTCCTCTAAGATAAAACCTTTCAATGCTTTAAGTACTCAGTATGATTTAAAAATACAGACATGGCCAGTGAAGCTTTCACTATTTTGGCAGTGCTCTTTGCTGGCAGAGCTGCACACAAGATGGACAATGAACTGAAAATGGTGCTCTAGTATTTATTCGAAGCCAGCAGACCTATAAATGGGTAGAAAGAAGTTTCTTCAGCAGCAGCTGGTGTAGAGAGACACATGGGAAATTCCCACAATACTGTAATGATGTTCTTACTAATGACTTAAACATATATTACATGCAAGAATAACTGACCTGCACATTATCAGAATCATAAAACTCTCTTTTTTAGCTGATCATTAATTCCAATTTGTTTCGAAAAGACCATCTCACATCACTGCAAAATTTTATCTATTTGCAGGATTTCCCTAGACGGCATCCATGGGGAAGAGGTGAAATGAGAAATGGAGAGGAAAAAACCCAAGGGCTGTGTTAGGCCAGGTTGACCCAAGTAAATACAAGCTTTGGATGTAAGAGGTACATCTGAAAGGCGCTCAGTAATGATAACGACCAGGCATACCTGTGACAAAGTGATGACTGCACCCTTGCTGTTCTGAATATAGAGATTTGGCTGTGGAAATTACACAACTCTCAGTCTTGATCCCTGGGTACAAAATTCCATGTGGCAGAAAGCCAGAGTAAATGTTACAGTAATATATCGGGTCCATAAAGGCTGGGAGAAGTGATCCGTACACCACGAACTGTAATAAATCACTAATGCTTGTCACTGGATGAGATAAACTTCAATCTTAAAAAACAAAACTGCATGGGTTATCCACCACCTTTAGCTGACGTTGTCAGCTATCATGAGTACCACAAACTCCAGTTCTGAAGTGCGCAGACCAGACATTCAGATTAATTAACAGCAAAATCATAGTCTAAGAAAAACTATTTTTTCATTTAAATACAAGTTTTGATGAATAGTGCATAAAGCCAGTGGAAAACAGGATAAAATGCTGCTCCGAGTTGCCAAGGTAGCTTGCACCAGATGAATCTGACAGCTTTTTGTGGTAGTGGTGGGAGGGATGGCCAAATGATGGATTTTTTGGACACAGAAAATGCAGTGGGTCTGTAAATATAAATACCACTTGGGAAAATATTAAGCTGAAGAGAATGGAAAATTACAAAAAGTCTGCAAGGTTGACAAAGAAACAGTTGGGTTTTTTTCAGTGATTGCCGTTCAGGGGACACCTTCAAACTCAGATCAGGTTGACTATTTTACTTCAAGACAAAATTGTTATCAAAAGCAAGGCTTTTGGAAGCTTTTGGAAGAAAGGCTTTTGGAAGCAAACTTGTCAACATACTATTTACTTTTACATTCAAATCCAAACACCAAATGTGTATTTTGGATGTGGCTCCAAGGAGATCGCATCAAAGATGACCAGTAGCAAATCAACTATAAAAGACTCAAAGACATGAGACTTTTTGGGACAATGTCGTTGTCACTGGACAATGGAATTAGGCACAACAACATAAAGACTGTTGGCAGCAGCAGCAGTCCCACAGGTTCAATAGTTCTTATGTTGGTGGTTAAATTGCATCATCATACGAGAAGCATGACATTTCTTGGAGAGCATGTAAATAAGCATTATTACAACTAAAAGGGTCCTAGTAATACTGAATGATTATTTAAAATTTGATGAGTTTCTGCCTGAGTGGGGAAAAGTTGGATGAAACATTTACTTCCTCCATTTAGCAGTATAAGAGGTACAGCTCGACAGAACAGTCTGTCTTCATTATCATATTCAACATTTATTTTTAACAGGTTTTGTAGTCTTTGTTCTTTTATCTCAAGTCAGTGTTAGATATCTACCACAATGCTCATGGAAAATCTCTGAACAGGGAGAAAAGAGAGGTTTCTCCACAGTGATTCAGTTTCACTTTACTTTTTTTCTACGACTTTTAACAAAATAACTTAGAAAATGAAAAAAAATCCCTCTTCTTCCTTTGGCCAGGGGCAGGGGCTAGAGCTTTAGCACGAGTTTCTTTCGGACAGACTTACAGGAGCTGCACAGCCTGCACTGAACGGTGCTACCTCCGGTGAATCCCTCTGGATTTTTTTGTATGAAGCAAAAAAAAAGAAAAAGGCATGCAAACCGGGCACCTGTTTTTCAAGCTTACATTTGGAGGATTCATTGTTAGCAAGCATCGCAGCTCTGCAGGCACAGACTTTGAAAGCCAGAGGCTCCTGCATGATTACAGCTACGTAACTTCAGGGAAATGAAGAAGAGAAGTCTCTCAGAGAAATTCTTTTACTCTGAACGTCACTAGAAAAGCCAATGCCTACCAGCAGTTAGGGGAAGGTAGCTATCACTTGAAGAGAAGCAGAGCTCCAGCATTAACTATGGGCAGAGGGAAGGAACAGAGAAAGAAGTAGCAGCTTTGCTTTGCTCTTTCACGACTTTTACTAACAAGAGTATGCAAATGCCAACAAACGTGTCTCCTGCAGCGTACACACCCTGCACGCAGGCAGGGACTCAAGGGGATGCGAGGCAAGGTGACCTCCTCCGAGGAGTCCTCAGCACAGGCCAGTTAATACTTGTGCTGTCGTGACTGATATCATCGACTGTGCATCTGTACAGTGATAAAGGGAGGCAGGGTCTTTTGACTGAACAACAAGCACCCAGGGTCTCTGTGTGCTGTTACCAAGTGCGGATGTGCTTCTGGTATACGCTTATGGAAAATGTACAAGTCATTACATGCTTCTACATATCCTTAAAGAAATTATTCAGTAGTGGTGTTCTGCGTGGCTGAACTGCCGTGCTGTTCTGTAGCAAAGGGAGGTGATTTCAGCAGGTCACAGGAAATGCCTCGGAGAGCTTGTGCGTCACAAAGTGCTGCATGCTGAAACACGCTGCAGAAGTTCACACTAATGCAAAAATAAGTCTGGCAACATTATTAAACAAGGGGCATGTTTAATGCTCCTGAAATTAAGAAATAAGAAAGGCTGCTCCTGGGCTCACTCTTGGTGGTAGAAACGTCAGGGACCCTCCAGAACAGAGAATTAAAAATCTGAGTTGCATGCTGTGCTGGTGACAAGGACCAAATATGAACGAGAAGATCAAATTATCACCTGGCCCCATTTTATTTATGATCCAGAAGTTCTTTTCAAGGATCTGGGAGCGAGAAATTGGCGTGCTAACATTTGGAACTACTGAAAAGTTTTGCCTACATAAATTTCACTTAATCTGGATTCTGTCCACAGAATAAAAACTAATTTTTGTAACATCATTTGTCTTATGCCCTAGCCAGCCCATGAGCTAGCTGTTACCTAGCTTCAAGTATGTTTTTACCTGAAGATTTTTGTAGTGAACAGTACTCCTGCAGTGACTTGTCTTTGCTGTCTCTTCATTTGTGTAGAAGAGTCCACAGAGCTTGCAGTAAAATCCAGTTCTAGGCACCACAAATTCCACACCTATTGAGAAATTCTGAATTACATTAAAATGTCATTTGAAACCCTTCCCCTCCACAATGAACTTGTTTTCAAAGAAAAAAGCTCCTGTTTAGTTAAATGATATAGATATGAAGACTGAATCCTGGATTCACGTCCCTGATTTCCCTAATTTTGCAATACTGAGCTGCAGTTTAAAATCCTGTGCATTGCAAATACCTCTCCTCTCTTAGATACTATATGTATATAAAAATATACCTCCTTGTGCATGGTATTCACTGAAAACTTCACTAAGTAACCTCACTGAAAACTTCACTAAGGAACCTCAAGGGCTAGAACACCAGAAGTACTTATTAGCAGTAAATTCGTGCTTAAGTTACACAGATTGCTCTTTAGGATATACTTCTAGGTGTTTTACTCGTGATATAGGTTTACACAGTAAAACCTATATGTTTGCTTATACTGAAAATATAATCAATACTTTAATGACAAAGACTTTTAAACTACGAAGTATATTCTATATATATTTTATACATAGAATCATAGAATCACAGAATGGCCTAGGCTGGAAGGGACCTTAGAGATCATCTAGTCCAGCCTCCCTGTCACGGGCAGGGACGCCTCTCAACTAGATCAGGCTACTCAAGGCTCTGTCCAGCTTGGCCTTGAACACCTCCAGGGAGGGGGCAGCCACAACATCTCTGGGCAACTTATTCCACAGTCTTGCCGCCCTCGTACTGAAGAATTTCTTCCTAAGGTCCAATCTAAATCTATTCTCCTTCAACTTAAACCCATTTCCCCTTGTCCTATCAGTGGACACTCTTGTAAAAAGTCCCTCCCCAGCCTTCCTGTAGGTTCCCTTCAGGTATTGGAAGGCAGCTATTAGGTCATAGTCCAAGGGAACTTATTTCTTCTCATGAGCGACATTAACAGCTATCTTTTGCTGTTCACCTGGAATGAAATTAGCCATGATCGATAACCAAAAGCCTGTTCAAGAGCTACCCCTCTGTCATGTAGCCTGTTCCCTCGCTCTCCTCACATCTGTTCTGGAAAATAAATATAGCAAGTAGCCTTAAAGTGACATCTTGTTGTAAGCTCTAGGTACTGCAGTGGGCGGCATCACAGGCCGAGGGCAGCCGGGGTGGCTGAACGTACCCAGGGGAATGCTGAGCTCAGTGAAGACGTCCTCTTGTTCCCAGCCTGGTGGAGAGTGCCTTCTTTTAGGCTCTACCTCCCGGTATTCCAGAGATCTCATTTCCAAGTACCTAGAATTTGCTTAACAAATGAATAAATGTATTGAATGAAAATAGTTTAGTAGTTTAAGGAGACGTTCGTAAGCTTCTTGGGAAGACTTTCTGGGTGGATCTATAAATGAAGTAAAATCTGGGGAAAATGTTTTCCCATTCAAATCTGAGGCCTACTCGGTGCAACCCCAACAGCTGTGCTATGCTGTGCAGTCACCCCTATTTCTCCCAGCAGATCAGTTTTCCACTTCTCATTTCACGTTCATTATGTTTTTCCTTTTCGTATTGTAATCTCTAAAGAGATCTGTAACATTAGCCATGCCTCTGGCACAAGCGTGGTCAGACTGCAGCTCCGTCAGCACGTACAGCGCTGCGGGAGGAGGGATGGAGCTGGGCTGGCACAGGGGCTGCTGAGAAAGGGGAGGCAAGACCTGCCGAGAGCACATCCCCAAACTGCCTCAGGAGCTACATGGGCAAAGCAAACCTTCCTCCTGTAGGACCCCTGCAGCATCACTGTAGTCATCTCCCTGGAGCTACTGTCCTCCTGTCCTCAGGCTCTCCAAGGGATAGTTTCTGCTTTACGACTCTTGGCCACTTGAACATTTTGGTTTCTGGCCAGTAGAGATGGGATGGTTGATCCCGGCCGACCAACATTAATGGACACAGGCAGGAGAATTCAAGGTGTGGAAAACAATGGATTGATTTGCTGAGGCAGATAGAGCCAGTCAAAACAATAGATTCCTTCCCTCCCAACATGTGAATTGGTTTGGTTTTTTTTAAAAAAAGAGAAATTTGTTATCACAGAGAAAGAGCATTACAGATAAACTGGTCTGATGCCTATTCTTCAGTTCTTACATCAAACTAGTTCTCTTACCCTGAAAAATTTCTACTGCATTGCAAATTTCCCCTAGAAGAGGAGTATGTTTTCTCATAAAACAAATATATTTTTGCCCAAACCAAATCTTTCTTGACTTCCAAGATCTGCCATTTCTGGCTATTATTTTTTCGGCATTGTTTTAAATATGTCTACTATGTGATTTAAAAGAAAATAATATAAAATCCTGACTGGTCAGCTTTCAAGTTAACTTCAAGCCCATCCCAGGTTTCCATATCTGCAGCACAGATCCTGGAAAACCTGCAAGCTTCACTTGGCTCTTCTTAAGATACCCAGGGCCTTTGTAGCAACTTAAATCTTACTTAAACTGATTTCTGGGTTTCTGAGCTGGCAGCTGCATTTGCAGAGAGCCTAGAGCCTCGCACTGCAGATGCCATGCATCAAGTCCATGGCAGAAACCTGGGAAGCACAAGCTCTCCTGGAGCACTCGGACTCCCTGCTGGCAAGCTGGAAGCTGAGATGCTGAAAACACCAAAGTAACTACGCTCTTGGGATACCCAAGAAGTGGGCAGCCCAGGGGAGCCAACCTTGCCATCCTCAGTCCCAGTGAGTTTGCGTGGCTATGTTATCTCCAAATATGCAAAGCCTGGCAAGGTGTCTTCAGGCCAAACATATAGGTATTGAAAACTGAGTGAGTTTCAAACCTGTCCTGGAGGAATAAGTTAGTTCAAAATCAGACATTCACATTAAATGTTCCAGCATTTTCTGGTGGAAAACTGAACCCTCAAAAATCTTCCAGCATCTTCTGTTCACATCCCGTTCTCCATTACACCATTTCTGGTAGCAACAAAAAAGAGCATTCCTGGCCAACATGCTCTGTGTTGTTTTATACAGAGCCCATTCGCTGAAGTTTCATTTGAAAGTGTGACGAGGAACTGAATTAACTTTGAGACACCCAAGATCTCTTTCCTCCTGACAGCTAATATTAATAGGCAGCTACGATTACATTTATTGGCATTATCTCACAGCATGTCCTATCAGTTCTATTAAAGGCAGCATGCGGTAGACAACGGGAGATGATAAGGCAAGTCCTGACAAAAGGCATGTATTTACATGAACAGGGACTGAGAAGTAACAATGCATGGATGATTTCCACGTTACTAACACTTCAGCACAGTGTGTAAGAATACCCACCTTGTCCAGGAGCCAGCCAGACATTACAGATACTTTTCTGCTGACCTTCAGAGACTATCACTCGTTTCATTGACAATTTAGAATAAATTTAGCAGGGCACTGAAAGAGTGCAACTAAACTCATGTGAACCTTGACATGACAATTATAGCAGCTTATGCCTTTCAGAAAGCTTGCAAGCTGCTTATCATATTTCCTTTACACTATTCAGCTAAGCGCCTCTAATGGTTTAGCTTGGCGAAAGGCACTGGGGTTCTTTTACTGAGCTGCTCCAAGGACAAGTCTCATTACTATTAGCAACATTTATTCTTGTTAGCAATAAATTTCAGTCTACTGTCAAAGAAAACATGCAAGGCTCTCTGTGGGCTGAAAAGGAAAAAAAAACCACAACAGCAGTTACCCTTGGCCTCTGGACACTCTTGGCTTCCATGTCTTGTTTCTTCACTCACGTTTTTAACAAGCATTTCCATAACTTCTCTGCTCTCAGCTCCTTGTGATCCCATCTGTTTGTAATCATCTATAAATGTATCAGGGAGCTGGAGAGTCTCTTCTTTCAGATGAACAGAAGGTATATGGTGATCTTCAGGCTCTAAACGAGTGTCAGAGCTCTTATCAATTTTGCCTTCCTTCTGCTGGGGATCAGGCTCCTTAGCAGATTGGTCTTCTTGCAATTCTTCTGACTTCTGCTCAGGGTCCAGATTTAGGCTTGATGCTTCAGTTACAGCATCATCGTTATCACCATCCTCCTCATCATCCTGACAGCCGCTAGAAGCTACACTGCCCTTTGCAGATTTGAAGTTTGTTTCTAAAGCTTTATGGGCAAATTTGTCTTCACTCCTGGCTATGTGGCTGTGATCGTTTTTCAGTTCTAGCACAGCTGACATACAGGGACACATTTCTGAAGCAGTTTTATTTTTCTGATCAACTGGCACTATTTCTTCAAGCTCGGTTATATCAGGCTCCATAATTAAATCATCTTCTCCCACTTCATCCACTGTCACTAATTCCTCCATGTTAGCAGGATACCAGGTCTCACCTTCTATCTCACTTCCACTCTCCCAGTCTCGGTCCTGTCACAAAGATGTAAAAAGTTTGAGACATCAGTGATTACAGATCACCACTGTTAAAAAGTAGGCTTAGAACATCAGTAACTCTGAAGAACTTTGACCTGGCCATGCCTAACCCCTCTTGTATTTTAGTTTCAAAGAACAATATGCCTTGGTGTTGTGATTTTAAACCTTACGAGAAAGGACAAGCAATCTCTTTTTAATGATCACATAGACTTCACTTTGTGGAGATTCTGTAACTGCCTTGGGAATTACCATCTCTCCAGTCAGCTGCTTCTTATTCTTCTGTAAGCAGCACAAGAAGGCATAACCTGTTACACTTTATTATGTAACTGATGCTTATGTGATCCTCAAAGAAATGAACCTCTCCCTTTCCTCCACCTCCATCCTGGGGTGGTGATAAACAGGCAACACAATGAGAATATACTGAATCCCAGTTTAGCCACTGTGGCTTTCACTGTGCTGGATTAGGTCCTTTAAATCCCTACAGTCACTGAGAAAACGTGGCTACATTCTGCAGTCATTTCCTTCCGCCAGCAAGAGCCCTCTGCCAGGGACTGTGTTGGTAGAGGTTGGCCTAGACCTTAAGACAAATCAGTTTTACAGTTATACTCCAAGGTACGTAATCTGAAATACCTCGAACATGCAGTTATAGATTTATAGGACTCAGACACTAATACTGGACTTCAGAAGCATTAAAATTATAAAGTACGTGTTACTTTTCAGACACACTTGCAGATTAGATTTCAACTCCCAGACTCATCATGTACACCCAATCTATTAATAATCTGTATTCTCCTCCTATTTGGCCATTCCCACACTTCCCCTCCTAGAATCCTAAACCAGCATGAAAACTCTGGGAGTTGACACTGTTCTTGCCAAGAGATCAGTTTTCTACAGCAACAGATATCAACAGCTTCCATATCTGACCATCAACCCATGACCCTACAGATATGAAGCTGGAGGAATTCCAAGGACATTGCTGTCCCTGACTGCGATGCTGCAGCAGAGGTGCTGTAAAGATGTTATTTAATTAAAACCAGAAACAATCAGAAGAGGCTACTATCTGTAGTCCATCTAAGGCCAACGTTCTGAAAAATGTTCATCATTAGTCTCCTCCTTCTCCACAAACTGACCACATCTCCTATTTTTGGGCACGCCTCACAGAGTTTACACAGTTCACTTGGGCATACATTCCTTGCAGTTGCCACTGCCAAGGGCTATGCATGTGAAGCAATGTACATGGGCAAAGAGCAACTAAAAAAAGAGTTCTAGAGACTTCAGGAAAAGCTATCCCTTAAAGCAGAGGTCAAGATAAGGCAAGTTAACTTAGACAGCCCCCTTCCACAATCCCTTTCCATGCCTTTCCATGGGGGTTTAATATTTCATTAGAGAGAATGTGCTACCAAACTTGGGGTTTCACTTATTTTGTCGTAGAAGCTGCACCAACAACGTGTCACCAACCTTCTCTTTTCTTGTGTTTTCCAGAATCTCTCCAGATTCTTTTCCTTGTTTATTATCTGTAGGTGAGCTCTTCTCTGGTGCTTGCTCCTCTTTTCCAAGCTAAAATAAATACAACACACACACGTATAGCAACACACAGTGGTGCTCTAGTATGTTTCTATTCTGGGTTTAGGGAAGCAAAGTCACTCACAAGGTCACGTTCTTTTTTTCTAAAGCTTATGCAAGTCAACTAGCCTGTGGGAAAGGACCCAACAATTTGATTCTATTAGAAAAAGTTGATCAAATAAGACAAGAAAAAGAAATTTAAACAAAATTAGAGAGACGTAATTTATATCATAGAATTGGCCAGAAGACAGGTGTGGGAGAATGTGAATTTGTTAAAATTTCCAGGCTCCACTCCTCTGTTCTATACCCACATCTGCTATGTTGGCTCAGACATCGTAAAAAGAGCAGCACACTTAAAACTCTGCAAAAGACTTCAACTATTTGGTTTATTGATGTAAGATCAGTTGAGAATGCAACTGCTTGCACAGTTCATACTTTGGAAGAACAAAACCACAGTATTACCTGGCACTCAGTAAACGAGGGGCAAAGTGAAAGTGTGAGTTCAGGACATCTGAAGCATTTTTTTCCTTTTAAAATAAATTATTAGCAGTAGTCCCTGGAGAGGTATGCCTTTAACAAAGACGCTTTAAAATAACTTGAAACACGTGCAGAGGAGTGCACAACACTGGTGATTTAGGATGCTGTCTGACATTTCCCTCTGACATCTCCTCCCAAGGAACCATCCATCACAGTGAAATACCAGCCAAAGGAGAAAGATGACAAAAGGTGGTACAGACACACATAGCTATGGCATGAGGTAGTGCTGCTGCCTGTTATAGACTAGCTGAGTTAAAATATCTAGAGATTTCCACCAACCCTGCCCTTACATGAGAAGAGTAAATGCAAGGTCAGCTGAAAACAACCAAAGGTGGCTTTGGCAGCACAAAGTCATAAGCTAGAGATGGACCCCTGGTTAGCAAACAGCTCTGCAGCCTCCTGTGCCAATGTCCCCGGGGGTGGATGGCAGCCGTGTGTCACCAAGAGGGACTGGGGGAGGCAAGGTGGCCAAGAGCCAGTAACCAGATCCCCTTGGGGGGGGTTACAAGCATGGGCTGTATTGGGACCGAGCAAATGAGGCATCTTGATCTGTTCTCTCTCTTCTTTTTCCCAGTAGAGAATCAAACCCGCAAACACTGCCACTTTACCAGCTGGGAGTATTTCTCCAGACATCCCACAATTTTACAGGTGAGCTGATTCAGTGGTTCTGCCATGGGAAGAAATTCCTGCCAGTACGTTGAAGGGAGTGGTTTGAGTTATCCCTGACACTGCTGAAGGGAGGGACATGTGATTAACAGAAACCAATTGCTCTGCTGAGCTGACCAAAAAGAAAGTGTTCCTCATTAAAAACGTATACCCCATTTTAGCAGTATAACAACCAGTTTCCTGTATTGTCTGACAAATATTGTGCATCCCTGTAAAATACCACTTAATTCCCAGATAGCTCAAACCACATCACAAGCAGCGGAAGGATGTGATAGATGCAGAGAGAGCAGCTCTGAGGTATTCTGCACACACTTAGAAGAGAGAGCAGTAGGACAATTGCCCCTGCACACACAACCTGCATGCAGACAGCAGATTGTCACTTGGTTTTGTTGTGAGTTGTCTGTCCCCTTCCCCTCACTGGTTACCCAGAGGTTCTGTACTTGACACAGAAAGACAACGTCCATGCATCCAACACCACAATGGTGTAATAGATCTGTACAATTCGGGCAAAGGTGTAGACAAGATGACCTCTGAAGATCTCTTCTAGGACTATATTCCCGGATTTTATCAAGGCAAAACATTGTATATCACCAGCACCCCACCCGCAAGTGATGTAAAATATTTCAGAAAATGTATTACTTCGGCATTTACCTTCTTACATACAGTTTGAGATATCTATTTACCTCATTCTCGGGAGGTTTGGTTTCCTTCACATCATTCCCTTCAGCAGCAGCATCTTCCTCTTGGTCTTTTTCAGCTTTCTTCACCTTATTCTTATCACTTTGTTTTTGCCTGGAGCCCTCAGCAGCTTTGCTGTGCTTCTGTTCAGCCACCTCTTCCCTGGCAGTGTCCTCACTGTACGAATGCCTGCGTTCCCTCAACTTTGCCTCCTCCTTTCTCTTAGATCTCCCAGGTAAATCCTGCAGCTGCCTCTGAAACTTGTCAGATTTTGACTTAGAGGTTTTTCGGTAATAGTCATCTTCCCTGCTCTTGTAGCCAGATAAAGGGTGAAGGGAGCTAGGGGAACCACTCCTTAAATATTTTTCTCTGTGCCCTCTGCCTCCTTCAATCCGTTCATCCAAATCAAACTTGTCCAGCTGTCGGGAATAATGTTTCCTCTCGTGTACCCACGTGTCAGTCCTGTCCCGCTTCTCATCCCCATTCTCTCGCCATTCTCTGCTGTCTCTTTCCTCTTCCCGACGAGAATATGGGGTCTGATCCCACGACTCTCTCCCATTTCCCCAGTCGGTCCTGCTGGTTCCCATTGGGCTGTGGGGTGAACTGCAGGAAGTGAAGCTGGGAGTGTGGGATCGGGGAGACAAGGAGCGGCTTATGGGGCTGCGAGAGCGTGGCCTCTCCGTGCCATACCTGCTGGAGAGGGAAAAGGCAGCTGTAACTGGCTGACCCACTACGGTCTACCAAGTTCCTGTACACTGGAAACACAGTGGGACTGCCTCGGGGACTGTGAACTGGACACCCCAGGCCTTTCACAAACACACATGCACAGCTGCAAATACAGTGAACAGTGAGCTTAACTAAATCCCCACAGATCTGTCAAGAATATATTCTTTCACTCTTAAAAGCATCTTGTAGGGGCTTAGCATTAAAAGCTTATGTGTTAATACCTTCACAATGACCCTAATGTCTGTACTCTTAATCCTCACTCATCTAGAGCATCTCTGAGCAAAAGTGACAAAGGTCACTTTTTAAAAGAGATGTTTCAGGACTCTCCGTCCTCTCCATTCTTGCTGGAAGGTCCAGAAGCCAGGCAGATCAGAAATATACCCAACTACATCGTAATGTGAACTGGCTGTTGCCCTCTAAGTTTTGCACCACTCCCAGCCGCTACACTTTTCACTCAAGGGGGAGGAGAGGGAAGTGGCTTCATTTGTGTGTTCTTCACATGCCAGGCATATTTTCTGAGTCATCATCATCAGTAGGAAACAGTTTATTTATTTTCATAACACGGGCAGTTTCAATCTGATCTCATTATATAGGCCCTGCACCTACTGCTCTACCCTCTTTTATTTTTACAGTGGTTTGAAGTGAAATCCAAATTAAGAAAGCAAATGAGATAAGAGAGGGAGGAACACAGATAATGCTTTTTCTACCTGCAAGTTTACAGACTTATCCAGGTCCTAATTCCAAACTATGGAGCAGCTTTACCTGTCCACTTCACGCAGCAGATCCCTCTCCCTCTGTGAGTGGATGTCCTGGATGATAGCAGCCACATTCTTACCTGGTTTCTAAATAAGACAAAGACAGTGTTTAGCATGCTGCACTACTCTCCAAGCTAATATAAGTGATTTGTCCTTCAAGAAATGGCATCCATGCACCATTCAATTACACTGCTAGTGAGAAATATTTAGTTCCAGTGTTGTGGTTACAGTCTTTTCTGCAGTTGATATCTCAATAACACGATCAAAGCAGTAAAATGATACAAATGGAAAATTTGCTCCATTACGTTGTAGCACTGTCTCCTCATACTTGGCTGCTGTAACAGGCTTTGAAAACTAGCTTGTACTTCCCTGTTACACATTAACTACCAAGTATTTTCTAGGAATTGGATGCAAGAGGAAACAAACAATTTTTCTAATATCTGAATTAAATATGTATAGCAGCCTATCTCTGATCCTCTAGGAATGAACTGCATTCTCTTCCCCTCGAGTTTAGCTCATTCTGAAATATAGCTCTAAAAGACGATGGTTGGACACAAGAGCTTCAGAAAAGCTAAGTGCAATAAAGCTGTGTACTGGAAGTGGTGATGTCAAGGGTTAGGAGATTCAAGATCATTTACAAAAGATGCACTATTCCAGGCTCGGGTGTATGCAACTTGTCAAACGCTTGGAGCATGCACAGCTAAGCAACATAATCATGCAAGAACTCAAAGCAGTTTGTAGTGGTAAATAGTTCATGCATATTCCCCCTTCCATGTCGCACTTCTGTTTGTTTTTAACAAAGAGAAAGTGCTTTTGCTCATGCGGAGAAAAATAATTTCATGACCTGAAAAACTGCTGTTGGAAAGGCTGAAAACCTTCCTGAAATTCAGGCAAACTACTACACTTTCCTGGGTAATTCCTCTTCTGCCTCTATATTAAGTGCATGCTCTCCACCACCTTACACCTGAACCCCTCATCATACCACAGTAAGAAGGACTGCTCTGGTTTACAAACTTTTGGCAACTCCTTTTAAGTCTCTTTAAACAATTATACATGCACAGGAGAGAAAGAGACTTTTCCAAAGGTCAAACCAAACCATCTCCGTTACTTATTTTTCCTTGAAGGTCATAAAAGGCCCCTTAAACTCTTAACTTGGAATGTTACAGAGTTATTTTAGAAAATAACTTTGTGCTGTGTTAGATAATACAACACGAAGCTTTTCAGCTCTGCATTGCCAGTTCCAGCCCAACTGTCCAAGAAAAATAATACTCTCTTAGCATTACACAAGGCAGTACGTAAGTTTTCCCAAATACGCTCATAAAAGCACTGATTTTTTGGCTATCACTCAGGTGCCAACATCAGAACTGTCACTCTACAGAAAGTCCAAAGACTACTACTCTGTTATGATTCTATGTAAAAAAAATAATAATTAAAATCTTGCTCTTTAATTTAGGTCATTCACAAGAAAGAAACAAAAGGAAGTAAGTGTGATGTTTATCTCTGCCATCATTGTGTGACCAGAGAAAATGGGATCTCTTCCAAGAGTTAAAATTTAGAGCAAAAGCAAGCAGCTAAGTCTAAAAGATCATTAACATATGTTCATTACTTTACCTTTCTTCATTTCCTTTTCCAAAATATTCCAGTATTAATTAGAAATCAGTCATCAGCAAGAATTTTTAGATGCATGCTCCAGGACATGTCATGGAAATTCAGGAAAACTGATGAAAATGACTATCTTACCTTCAGCTGCAATTCCTTGTATCTTTTAGACATCCTAATAAGTAATTTGTCATCATTTATCATAGCAGGTTTTTCTTTGTAGTACTGCACCATGGCTTGTGCTGCTTCACTGTAAGCCATTTCCAGAAAGGCCTAGCACAAATGGGAAGAGCTTTAAAATCTACTACATGATTAAAAATACAGAGTATAAGAGAAAAAAGGCAGAACAATAATTTTTGTTTGGATTCTTCTTATGCAAAATGTCAGGATAGGACAGAACTGGGTAGCTGTCCAGCCTTGGAGCTGAAATAGCAACACTCAGTCCATTGTTCAGCTTCCTTTTAACTGCAAATAATGTTTTCAACCCACTATATGCAACTTTAGAAGCCAGTTTAGTTAAACACAACTAACTAGAATCTAATCTTTCTTGATATACGAAAACATCACCTTTCCCTTGCTTTTCCTCACTGGTGCTTCTAAGCCATGGCCAGCTGCTGACAGGATGCAGAATTACAATGCTGCAGCATGCACTGCTCCCGAGATTGTCAGCTCTGTCTTGCAGAAGGGCAAGGGATCCCGATAAAAGCAGTACATCAGAGCACAAGCAGCCACAACAAAGCCAAAAAAGAGTTTAAAAAACCCCCAGATGACATTAACTAGCACTTTTATTCACATGAAGACTGCATCTGATGTGACTGCAGTTTAACTGGTCAAGGATTATACTCACAGCTGTGTAGTGACTTCAGTTTGAAACATTACAATCTCAAACACTGCCTGCTGGTGTGGATTCTACATCCATCTGTACTGGCTGCTGCAGGTACGTGAGAGAAGATTTTCTAGTTTTCCCAGCTTACCACCCCTGGTAGACTTAAACTGCCTTGAAGAAAGAGCTCTACTACAATCCAGTGCAGCTTAAAAGGGAGGGAGGGAGGTGTCAGCGCCCCCCGTACGGGCACTTTAGCACGTGTGCGCCTCATCACCCAGCACAGCCAGGGCTGGGGGCTCTGCCACCAGGCTCTGGCTGTAATTACACCATTGCAGCATATGCCTCTGCTTTAAGGAGTTCAGCAAACAGCGCAGGACAGCTGAACCAGACCAGGGTGCAATGCGTTCTTCAACACCCAGTTCAGCTCTATGAGCATGGGTAAGAAAGCAATAAAACCCTCCCAAACAAAACAAGAGAAGTTTGAAAGCAACATGAACAAATGGCTGAGAGATTAAGGCTAAATTATTAACTTTTAAAAAATAAAATTACTATATTTTTAATTTTTTTAGGTACAGTTTTACAATACTTCATTGAAATTTCTGGGGGGTTTTAGCAACAACTATGAGGCAGTGGTCATGTTTATGTCATCATCTCACTCGTGAACAAATCCTTTTTACTGTGAGATCAGGCTTCATATATTTAAGTTGCTCTTACAGAAAAAAAAAAAGAAGAAGAGATTTTCCCCACAGACTCTATCTCCATGTCGATGCTTCTTTATGCCAATAGACATTAACACTGGTGACCCCAAATCACAGTACCTGATTAGTGGATTTCATGAGGATGTAGTTGGTGACCTTCCCAAATGGGAGGCCCAGGTTAATGACATCATTCTCGGTGCAGCTTCCCTCGGGTAGGTTGCAGATGTGAACAACTCGACCCAGTGTAGATTTCCTCTGGGCAAACTGGGAAAAAAAACAACTCAAAATAATGTTTTTATCTTAGATACTCCAGCCCCTAGATAAGACCTTACACTTTTGAAAAGAAAAATTAAATGTTCTGTTCTGCATACCTACTATTGAGAACCGATATCCTTCTTTAAAACCTTGTATTTTAACACCCTAGTTTAGAAATCCAAGTGAGAAGGGAAATGTTTAACTGCAGTGCAGCGTGCGATGGAGTCTCCATCCCTGGACATTACAAAGTCTAGCAAGCACTTTGAGAAGAGATGCTCTTGTTCAAACTAGATTAATGGTACTGCTGCAAAAGCTAAGCTGCCACCTCAAACCTTACAGGCTCCAGGGCTTCAGCTCCCTGGCATGTCACAGCAGAAGGTTGGGCTGCCACGGGTGCAAGTCACTGCATTGTATTTAGCCCCAGAGAGAGCTCAGGGGCCCCTCAGTGTTCAGTGATGGCAGGTGCCTCTGTCACAGAGAGGGCTCGGCCACTCCTGACAACTCATCTGGTGCATCCGGCACAACCCCTACGGCTCCTCTGCCAAGTCAGACAGCCTTCCCCAGCCCTTCTGCATCTGGTGGCCCACTGGAAACTCTGTGCCCTCCCTGCACACAAACACACCACGCACTGTTGCTGAGTAAAAGCCTTTAGCAGCTAATTTGCAAGCAATGCACAAAAAGAGAAGAAATACGTTTTCAAGTATTCCATTAATGCTCATTCATGTGGAGCTGGTGGTGTCTGGATTGAAACAGATGCTCACTGCAGTCCCTGCTGAATTTATGGACATTAGAAATCAGTTTAGTTTACTACAGAGCTGTTCAGGATGGCAAGGGCTGAATTTAAATCCTCCTTCTGCTCTGATGGAACAGATTGGGCCAGGGGTAAAACTGACCCCATTGAACTTGTGAGAGGACACACAGCTACTACAGCTGCTACTAGAAAACCTACTACTTTCCCCTCTCATTGCAACAACCCACAGTAGGAGGGACTTCTACCCTAGGGGCACAGTGACCACTGGACAGGTAGAGACGCAGAGCTCCCAAACTGGGCTGGCACACGCACACAGCGCTGGCATAGTAATCACCTCCCAGGGGTGGAGATCTATTCTGGAATGCTAGGCAGTTCCCAAAGAGCCTACACTCCTTGTGCAAAGAGGCATCAGTATATACTCAGAAGAACATAATTTACCCCAGCTAATGACACACAAAATATTGCTCACACGGGTTTAAGTCTTCGCAGGCTACTTCCCTGTTTATGACGTCCTCTGCTGTTAGGATTTTACTGAAGAAATTCTTCTTTCAGTTAAAATTGTGCCATTCAAGGGAAGATGCAAATCATGTAATCTTGTGGGATCAAGTTCACCAGAGCTATCACAAATGTTTGGCTTGTCAGCAAGTTCACAAGTTAGAGAGTTAATGTTATCTTATTCACACCTTCATCCCATCACCCTCCTTCCAGCCTTCACCACTTAATCATTTGTGTATTTTTGCCACAGCAAGACCTTGTATTTATACAGTGGTCTATTTAGCTTGCATCTTACAGAGCATGCTCAAGTGTGTAAGGTAAGTCAAAGAAGTGCCCAAATCCAGAATTAAGGTACTTTTTCTCTCAGAAAAATAACAAAGACCTGATCCTGAAAAAGATGAAGCAACTCAATTCCACTTGAATAATAAAGGAAGTGATGGCTGCATGCAGCTGGCAAGGTGTATCTGTTGTGGAGTGCACAGCAGAATACAACTACAGTGAGCAGAGAGAAAGCAAGCTTTCCTGACAGCGATGCAGTCCCAGTGTAGGAAGATCCCAGCTCACTTGGCATCTTCTGTTTGTTTTGTTAGATCTGTTAGGAGATGCTATATTGAAAGTCCATGGGATGCGGAAGATTGAGCTGTCCTCTACACGGGCTCCAGAGCCCGAGTTCAGACACACACTCAGCAGTACGTTAAATCAAATGACTCTAAGTTGTTACCACCTTCCTACAGTTGGCAATGGCTTTAATTAAAATGCTCCACCATAAATCTACTGTAATGTATGATTAAGAAGCGGTCACAAACCAGAAGCTGATGCGCTGTACCAAGCAATTCACTTGTCAGCTGATAGAAGTTCCATTGGATCCATTCATTAAACAGAGCTGTAAATCACAGCCAGAAAAGGAAAATACACCTTCCATACCCACAGTCAGGAAGTTAGAGGAACTGTTGTGTGTCAATAAGACTCTAACTTAACTTTCTTCGCAGCCGGGGTTTACCAATGCAGTTGGACAACTACTACAAAAATAACTGGAGGTACAGCAGTGAAATGCACCTCATTGTATCAGCAACCCAGTTTCATTATTTTTTATTCTAGTTTTTTTCCTTTTTTTTTGTTTCTTGCTTTTCAAATTTTTTATCCCTTTCTTGAGCTTCACATGAATCTTTTCTGAAGATACTAAGAAACTGCGAGTCCCATCCCTCCAGCGCTAACAGCTCTCCAAGTGAAAACTTGTAGCGCTGTATTTGCCTTTTGAAGAGGGATGGAGTTATTTGCAGATGGATAGCACTGAGCAAGCTCTTCCAGAAATCTGAACACTTTGTTTATGATTACACGCAGGGTCAAGTCTAATCTTCCACTGCTCAGTTAAATGGCAGCAGCTTAGCTGAAAGTGAATACTACCCATGTAAAGGTGCAATAAATTATGAGCCACCTGGGTTGCAGAGTGAATGACAGCTGGCAAACTCAATCTTAACACCTCCAGTATAGCTCCCTCTCCACTCGATGAGCTTCTGCAGAAAAAGACTATTTACACTGTCCAGGAAAATCAAAGTTATTGTTTTTTCAGTCTCTCACAAACACTGTAGGTAATTCAGAAGGAGAACTTCTGCAGGCAGCTTAAGTGATAAATAGTGAGAGATTCTAAGGAGAAATGATACTGGTATTAGCAGTAATTTCATTTGTTGCGAGGTTGACAGACATGATGAAAAGGAATATTCCTCTGCACCCGCTGCTACTCCACCTCTGACCTTGGAGGCAGCTGTCACGAGCAGCTCTGCTCTTTGCGCTCCTGCGCAGACAGCGTCTGTGACAAGCAGAAGCCAAAACCCCTCCATATAACCTCTTGCACAGCAAAACCACACAGTAGAAAATTGGTTGGATTAAACAAATCTGGGTCATGTTTCTGTAAGCAATGCCTGATGTGAACAGGAATGGCACAGGAACACAACTCAGCCTGGCTTTCCAGAGTGTCTGAGACCACATCAGGATATGTATACAAAAGCTAACAAGGTGAAAACTTGAACCCCGGGATTACTGCTGCTATTCCATGAACGCCCTAACATGAGTCCTTGATGTCTCCAACTTTAATCATAGCTTTCCGATATATGTTGAGCTTCATATCAACCCTAACAACTTTGTATTTCCATTATGTATATGATTTGCTTCTATCTGCCTTTTTTTAGTTGTTTTTTTTCCCCCCCTTTTAAAATCTTTCTGCTTTGCCAGTATAAGAACTACTTTTAACATTATCCTTTCTTTCTGACATTTTTTGGTTATTGGGCTAGGGATTCAAGTGCGCATTATAGCAATATAACTGGGGAGCTGTGTTGAATGCGGGACTAAAAACCTAAATCAAGGAAGGCTGTGCACCAAAGCAAACTTACTGAAAGGCTATCAGTAATACCAGATGATATAAATAGTACACAAATAGAGGACAAGTTAGTCCAGTATAATGAACTGATCTGGGACCTCCAGGAGAGTAACGGTTAACAAATCTGCAGACACTATTTTTGTTGTTATTGCTACCTTCCAGAAGGAACCCCAGCATGGGAGAGGCAGAGAGCAATTGCCACAAATAAATAAATAAATAACTGGAGAGCTGGAAGGCTGCTTGCCGGGATTGATACTCAGAGTCAGTAAAAACTAATCCAGATCTTCAATCCATGCCGAAGCTGACCTTCCTGGGTCGAAAAGACTCAGAAAATTAGGAGAAAAAGGCACACAAAACCATTTACCCCCCCGCGCCTTCCACAGGCAAATAACTTTTAGCACCAGAAAAAAAACACAACTAAAATCAAGTTCTAATTTGGCCAAAACCTAAAGCAAAAAGAGCTGCAGGAAGTAGAAATAACATACTGAATATTCATATTATTGTCTACAATGAAGCCTTTGTGGATTTAATTCCTCTAAGTAAAAGTGGCTTCTACAAGAATCTCAACACAGAGATTAATTTGCTTAGGTACTCACTCTTACCCCTGATGGCGGAGAAGAAAATGCAGGACCTGGCTGGCCAAAGGATCTTGCTGACGTAGTGATAAAAGATGCGCCGACATTTGGTGGATAATCTAAATAATGGATTACATGTATTTCATGAAAATCTTGACTCGTATTAATTGCATTATTGTGCTCAGTAAGCAATGCTCCATTTACATAATAATTAATTTCATAGTCTCTACACTGGATTATACACTGTTTCGTTGTACTGTGAAAACAAGTCATTGTTTGAAAGAGAAAGAAATTCATATGTTGAAAGGCACAGTATTTGCTTTTAGTCTTCCTGTGCACAACTTCCAAAAAGTTTTCCTTGGAAACCTGTACCACATTTCATTTAAAATGTCCACTTTCCCCCAGAGATCGACTTATCTTTCAACTAAAAAAATTGTTTTTAACTATTGCATATACAACCATTTACCTTCAATATTAGATGGATTGTATACTGATGCATTATTTGGTGATAAATGCAATGTTCCATCGGCTGAGCTTAACACGCACCGGATAGCAGTGCTGGAAAAGAAAGGAAATAACTTTAGGAGCATGCATTATGTGTCATCAATATTAAAGCATAATTATTAGACTGTAAATTCCCAGTGTAAAGGCACTGAAGCAAGGGATGCTTTGTTAGAAATTTAGTTGGAAGAGTGTCTCTAAAATAATACTTACTTATCTGAAAAAGCCATACATTTTTGGATGTGAAGACTTCCCTTAACGTGCTGATCCCAGTCCTATGTTGAAACAAACAGATAATGAGCACAGGAATGAGACAAATTTGCAAGAGATTGTTTCTCCATTCAGTCTACCTTATTCTAAAAAAAATACTGAGATGCTAAAGATCAAAGTGTGTGATGCTGGAGCCAAGCACACCTTCATCCAATGCATTTACTGATTCACTTACTTCATGAGGCAGTGTATTAAACACCAGCAAACAAATCAACTGAAACTCACCATAATGACATTTCCCCTGTCCTTTTTAAATGTTTAATGAAAAAATGAAATGCCCAGCCTGCCCTGGATGGGGGCGACTTCAGACTGGCCATCTAGCTGCAGTAACCACAGCAAACGCTTTTGCAAGCAGCTGCTCAAAGAGTAGAAGGGAAACATGAAAGGTACTATTTCATTCGCTGGTCCTCCTCCTTCCTATATAAATGCTGTTGTAAATGCTTTTGTCAAGCCACCATCAGTGTGAAAACACATGCCTTTGCTGTTAGGTGCTGGTCCTGCTGTGCGGCTGAAAAAGTTGTGAGGACCTACAGAACCAGCTCAAGGAGGCCAGACCAACCCCAGCCAGAGACCAAGAATGGCTTTGAGGCTCAGAAGGCCACATCAGTGGTCTTCTCCAGACTTGACCTATATAATGTGACTTTGCACACAGGCTCTCTGGGCAACTGGGAAGCTGCTTCTCAAGGGAGAGATTAAATTTGGAGCTCCCTTGGCAGAATGAACAGAGAAGTAGGAGCGTTGTCTGCACCATTTGTGCTGAGCAGCTTCTTGCTTCCAGGCCAAAGTCACTGGAGACCCCAAGTGCTAAATTTTCCTTAGGGATGCCAGAATGTGGAAAAGATCCCAACAGAGGAATTATTAAAAGAATTTTATCAAAATGCACCATTTTGTTTAAGCAAGCTGCTTTCACAAAGAAAAAGGGAGAGGCAGATGAAACTGCAGACGTGTGGTTACAACGCTGGCTCGAGAAGTGGAGGATTGGCCCATGAGCTGAGCTGCGACCTCAGCCCAGACCTCGCATTTCTCACGCCGTGCTGTAATCTCACTGTCTTTCACAGCAAGATGCGTAACAAAACCAAATCATGAAACCCCAGTAGTCACCGTGAAACAGATGTACGACACCCTCAGCACAACTACAGCCCTTTCTTCCCGCTTCTCTCCAGGCACCTCCCTGGTGATGGATGCTGGTGGCCAGCGGCTTCGGGAGCCAGTGGGCGGATCAACCACCAGGCAGCCCAGTCTGTTCAAGGGTCCGCGCCACACCCCGGCAGTACCTTAAAACCACTCACCTTCAGATCAAAGACCTTCTTGTCGCAGAGGGCGCAGATGTGGGGGAAGTGGAGGGGGGCCGTGCCGCGGAGGTCGCTCAGCTGGTGC